ATTCCAAAGGTCGTAGGTTCGAATCCCACCTTGGCCGGGCATATTTTTCAAGCTCGCCCGGTGTGGATATGCACTCAGAGTAACACCACAAATATCATTTTTTTACATATATAAATTATAACCTATCATTATTTACATGCACCGCAAGGGTAAAACTAGGATTATATAGTATTCCAACAAACCGTGTACATGCTTGATTTGTATTTTACAGTTTCCATAAAATCTTTATGAACTCAAAATGTGTTTTATTCTGTGATGAAAATTATATATGCGTACTCATATCAAATTTTGTCTCCAAAAATGGCGGTTTTCGTACTTAAATTGTCATTTACCTGTAATATTTAAAAACAAAGTATAAATTGTAAAGAAGACAGTTAGGCAAAATCTTCGTTTTGGGTAAGTACTATATAAAATATGAGCGGCAGATCTGTATGGGGATTTACAATGGCTTGCCATTGTAAATCCCCATACAGATCTGCCGCGAGTGTTTTATCGTACTTGTGAAATGAAACAATAATAAATATATGCTTGTTTGTATTGCACGTGTCTAATATATGAATATTAATGAGAAGGATTTTTAAGAAAGTTAATAAATGGATGTTAATTAGGATACAGCTGTATCAAAAGTTAAGAATACTAATTAGGACATAGCTTTAGGAGTTTGCTGACCTGTATTGGGGTTTACAAATATGACATGTGACATAAATATGGTTCATTTATTGGGTAGTTAGCTCATTAATTATTCATAAGTACAAATAATTTCTTTGTTCAGACGCTGTATAGCTTTCACTCTCATTTAGATAAATGGTGGTTTTCTAAGGGCATTTTGACTTGTGCTTTGTCATATTCCTAATTATGTCTCAAATCAACTAAATATAAAGAATCGTACTTGGTAGGCAACAGTGCCACTGTTAGGTACCTAATATATCTAAGAGTAAAGGTCCTGCTGCGATTTTAGGTACGATTTATTTCTGATGGATGTGAACGTGTGGATTTATAGTTACGAATGCTCTGACTATTTGGACCTACTGTATGTATTCTTATAACTGACCATGCATTTATAACACATCCACTCACTCATGCGATAACATCTAACAAAAGAAGAACATCAAACTTAAAATCGTAGCAAGTGAAATTGGGCATTAAGGCAAACTTTCACGTGTGATTTATAAATCTATACATTCAACAAAGTTTCATTTGAAATTTGTGGTGACAAGTTTTCATTTAATTTCAAGTTTCAATCCACTGCCTATAGTATACATGGCTGTTGTTGACGACTTCTTTCCAACTTTTGGTAGTACTGGAATTTTGCAGTTGTGGTGGCATTTTTCTGTGTACTTGTTGCGGTATTTCACCAAACGATGTAAGAAAAAACCGATGTAAATGTGGCATAGGACATATGATCTTCTTAAACCGACTGGCCCATACAAAGGTTTGTTCACATGCCATTGTGTTAAATTCTGCTGAAATCTTGTCGTCTGGATTATACAACTGCTTACACTTGGGATCCATGTGATTCCTTAAATGTAATCTATCAATCACTTTGGAAACAATTTTCCATGATTGATTTAATGGTGATGGACAAGGGAGGTCTTTCCTGGCAATCTTCAAGCTATCAACATGGCACATATCATATGCGATACACATTGATGAGATGGCTTCTCTGACACTCTTTTCATCTACCTTCATCCACCTCCATCCTTCATCAAGACCAACACAAGATAGGTTTGCATGGGAGACTCAGACCTAAAATTGCAATAAAAAGCGAAGTGCCAATGCCTTCAGCACGGCAGTAGCTTGACGTACTAAAATTGAACATGAATTGAATCATATAGTTTTGCAATAATCTTGCATCCCCCGCAAAACTATAGTATATTTAAATTATTAAATCTTACATAAAACATAGGCCTGCATACACGCTCACATGTTATATCTCTCAACAAACATTGTAAAGATTCTAACTAGTATTTATGCCCACAAGAACACATTTTAAAAAATTACAGTAAAGATTATAATGTACTAGTCTAAGACACTTTGTTATTGTGCCTAGAGAGTTTCAATATTGTGCGAGCCAGGGTGCGAGGCATGCAAGCCAGGGTGCGAGGCATGCAAGCCAGGGTGCGAGGCATGCGAGCTAGGGTGTGAGGCATGCAAGCCAGGGTGCGAGGCATGCAAGCCAGGGTGTGAGGCATGCAAGCCAGGGTGCAAGGTATGCGAGCCAGGGTGCGAGGCATGCGCCAGAGTGCAAGCCATGCGCCAGAGTGTGAGCCATGTGCCACCGGCCGCAAAATGTTGCAAACCCTTGTAAACACAGTCCGGCAATGTTTGCAAACCTTGCATATGTTTGTATTACGTGCAGAAATTGTTAGCATTTTTGGCAAATACAATATTGTAACATATACAAAACATGCATGCAAACCCTGCAAGGCTACACCTTCCGTATTCTACAACATTTCGCACTAACCAAACTTTGCATTTTCACCAGTTTTAACAAATTCTTTACGGGAAGTTACTTTTTTACCTAGATCAAAAATCAGTCTAACACACAAGTTGTTTATTGTGTCCTGGAGATAAGATGTACTCTACTCCATTTGGTCAAGACCAATTTCTTATATTTATTTATTGCACATGGCTCGCGTGGCTCGCACCGATCTGTGGTGACTCGCAACATCGGCATGGCTTGCACTTTATGTATACCCGTGCCTAGAGGATGTACAGGATTTTCAGGGTATGTAAAGTTTGTTTAACAAACAATAGATCTTTCAGACTATAAAAAGAAACTATTGCCAGTAGTAGTTTATAATGAAATTACTATTGTCACACAACAAAAGTTGTCACACAAAAAATTACGGACTTTAGTATAATATCGTACTAAAATATTCTATTTAAGAATTACATGCCTGTACAGAGGTTGCCAATACTCAATATGTCCACCAGCACTAACGACAAAAAACATCCCCCTTGACCAGTGGGTACCTAGTGGAATATAGTGAAATTTAATAGAAAATTATATTTACATATAAGTTATGTATCCATATCTCTTAACAGTTTTCCTTGTGTGTTTCAAAAACTGTCACTCAACTCAAAAATCTTTTTACAGCACACAACTCACCTTGAAATGTAGTGGCATTGCACTCTTCCCCTTCACTTTTAGATTCCTTCCCGCATTCCCTCAAGCACTCATCTACTTGTTCCAATGAGGAATCTGTCATGTGTTCATAATTATATTGCTTGTTAAATTTAATAAAATGGCAAATTAACTGTATTTCATAAATAGTCCTCAATCATGATTTAAATTATTAGAAAGTTTTGAAATCTTTATAATTAATATCAATCACTACCTAAAATGATCATGTTTTGCGATTGGCTTTCGAGTAACAAAAGTTACATGTTCTTTAGAAGTTGCGACATGTTCTTTAGAAATATGATAATCAATCAATCTCAAAGGCAATAAAGCCTACTGGCTGCTGCTCATATATTTATATGGCAACCCTGAAATCTCACTTACAGATTTATTTGGCCACGCTAGCCATACACAACATAGTTGTAAAATACAATCTTTTGATTTTCAGATGGGTCATGTTATACAGGTAAATATAAAATGAGTCCCTGATCTATGTTTAAAGATATTAAAGATGATTGGCAATGTTTTTCCAGGTTCAAAAAATTAACCAGGATGAAGAGTAAAACAGTAGGTCGATGCTGATTTTACAGTGAACTTATTGACTGGCAATGCGCCCCACTTTAGGGAGCATTCATTTTTTAGCTGGGGGGGGTGGGCCGGAGGAATTTGGGGGTGGGTCAGCCAATTTTGACATGCTTCAAAGGGGTGGGTCTTTTTATAGTTTTGGTATAAATGGAGGGGGTCATAAAAATAATCAGTGAAAAAATCACCAATATAATTTTATAGAATTTGGAAATATTTGGATCAAGAATGGTAAAAAGGTCCAGAATCTATCTCATCATCTATAACAATAAAGCAAAATTCATTTGATGCTCTGTTGACACAGTCCATAGGAAAACATTTCCATGACGTTCGTCAATTGACCTTGTTTTTGTCCGTTTTTGTGTGAAAACATGAATGAAAGAAAACGCAGGACCGTAGCATGATTTCAAACACATGCATGATTTCAAAGAGCGCATGACTTCAAAATCATGCAGCCTTTATCAATTTTAAGCTTTATTAATTTTAAGCGGCTACATTATCCATGACAAACTGCAAAGAATGAAGATAGTACCCACAGTTTCCTGCAACTTATCCTAGTTATCCAATATATAGTAAATTAAATATGCCTTCGAAAAGCAATTGGGGAATACCACAGGGCAAAAGAATTTATTTACATACTTTTATTTGAAATACTGCTGTGCAGCAGCCTTGTCCCCGGCGTGTGAGAAACACGCGTGGGCGGGAAAAGGGGAAAATGTGGGATTTGTGCCTGGCAGAAAACGCATTAAAGATGGCCGGCAAACAAGGGCAAGGTGTAGAGGTATTACTGTTGAGTAACATGAGCGTTCTTTATTGGACAAAATGGAAAGACCAATATTCGAAAAATATATTGCAAGGAAGGTTTTATATGGGAGAGATGATTGTGTTAAAAAATTACTGTTTTTCGAAGAAAATGGCATCGAACATCATTTCCGCATCGCACATAAAAGCAGCTACACTTGCCAGTGACCGCGAAAGTTACTTGAGAATATGTCGTAAGATTCTTAAAGATGAAACCAGGAAATGCTTTGAAATGCTTTTCAACTTACGTGAATCGTTGGTAAGAATGTAAAATGTATTGGTTATGCAATTCTTGTTTACTTTGCTTGAATGTTTGTCTGTAAAATATACTGCTTGTCACTGGGCATTTTATATAAATTTCATTTATATTTTATATTTTCTTTTAGGGAGAGGAATATCGAAAGATTCAAGTGCGTTCGTATGGTAGAAGTATGACATGTATTGCCAAACACGATAAGGAAGCAGCTCAATTCATGGGTTTACTGCTCTACTATGCAGGAATACTTCAAGCTTATAGCAAGGGGAATAAACCGAGTGACATTCATGTTACTTCTGAAGGTTTAGAAGTTAAGTTTCATTCCTGGTATTTAAAAGAATGCAACCAAGAATCGTAATCTTCCAGTTAGAAGCATTTTATGTCAAACGGGTAAGTAATTATAAATTAGATATCTCTGTTTTGGGTGTACCAATAAAGTTGTCTTTAATAACTTACAGTCAAATCGGATGTTCTGTTCACCTGAATATTGCAATATTGTTGGAAATATTGCAATTTTGATTGCAAGATTGCTCTGAGCAAGGTGCAACTGATGTGATCAAATTGCAAGTTGAAATTGACAACCAGATTTGTAAACAAAGTCTCTGCAAAGAAGAACCAATCTATTTGTTCAGAGTATCTGTTGGTTCTTCTTTGCTACTAGTAGCCAATCAGAGATTTTGCTTACGAATCTGGTCATGAATTTCAACTTGTAATTTGATCATGTCGGTTGCAACTTGCTCAGTGCAATCTTGCAATCAAAATTGTAATATTTCCAACAATATTGCAATATTCAGGTGAACAGAACATCCGATTTGACTATAAGTTATTAACTTTGTGTGCGTCACAATTTGCAAACTTTATCTATGTCCAAAAGCATACAAATAATTTTCAGTATGTATAGATAACTTGTGAGATGCTTCCACTAATACCTGTAAATGGGTCATTCCAGCTCTGCTGAACTCATCACCAAAAATGAGATTTGTTAACCATACCTTTAGATTTTCCTGAAATTTTGCAAATGTGTAAAGTTCCATGTTACGCTTGATACATACTTTATATATGCATCTACAGTACTTGTACTAGGGTTGGGTGATATTAAAAAAATCATCTCACGATTATTGTGGAGGAAATTATCACGATATTCGATATCGCGATAAATACAATAAAACAATGACCACATTTTTAAATTTTAATTAATATCCAACATAAACCTGAACTGTCTATGCAGTGTCTACTGCGTCTCCGCAGGCACAAATGCTGTGGGCACACAGCGCAAGCAAAGCCTGCAATTTCATTGTTCAGCAGATTAATACATAAATATTAGCTTTTGTATCGTATTAAATTCGTATTTAACTCAGGAAATAGTATTTAATTATTTTAAAAACTATATTTTCTAGGAATTGAAGGAATTTTTTAGGATTTTATAAAAGCTATATACACATGCGAAGCAATATCATGATAGTCGAAGAGCATGACTATAATTTCGATATATCATCGCTCAAGTTTCTACCTTCAATACGATAATCATGATTGAAAATATCGCAATATATCAAAATATCGAAATATCGCCCAACCCTAACTAGTACTTGTGATCTTTATTGTTGAGACAACATTTTCAGTCTCCTCCTCATGTGGGACATACATTCGTAGTGGAACTGAGCATGCTCAGATTAGTAATTAGGAAACATGTAACCCGATGTGCTGAGGCAAAATCATGCAATTTTGCCCAATTCGCATTGTCTTTTCTTTCTAGAGACTAGAAACTGTTACTAGTACCTAAAAACTAGTATCTGAAACTTCTACATATTTTCAATATGTAGGTTAAATCGCTTTCAGTTGATGATTTGAGTGGAATGATAATAGGTTAGGAGCAACATACTGGTATTGAAAATTGTTTGTAGTGGGAAAACACGAACAGAGTACAATTAATGTGTTTGTTAGGCCATTAACCATTAAGTTGCAAGACTCTCCCCTTGAGTAACATTGTCTGATGTTAGACAAAGTAAAAGAATAGCATAGGGCACATTTGGGCACATTGCAACTTTATCGGTTAAGGTGCAATGTATCTGGTGCAGTGGCAAAGCTAGCCATTGCAACTGGTCATGCTATGCTAATAAAACTTGCACCTCAGTAAGTTTAAGACATAATATTTCTAACGTTTTTACAATATAATAATAATAATAATAAATAATAATAATGGTTTAATAGCATTTCCACATTGTGGCTATTCTATGCTACAAAAGGTTACATGCATACATTATGACAACATTAAATTACTACATTATAGTATATTAGAGACCTATACTTTACAAGAGATAATCAAACGACAAAAACGAAACAATGGACACATTACATGACAATATAAACATGTTGTGTTTCATACTAAATGTTGCTAATTTTGTTCATTGCTAAGTCTCTGAAATGAGCGAAACAATTTCGGCAACACTCTCTAAAGTTATTACTGTTCCGAATGTCTTCGGGAAGATCGTTGAACACCCAAGCAGCCTCGCCTTGAAAGGTACCAGAGACACGTGGAACGACCAAGCGACAGGAAGACGATGAACGCAGAGGTCTTGAAGGCTCATACTCGTCAAGTTTTAGGTACGAAGGCCAGTCGCTGGAATGAATGGCTTTAAAGACTAGTTTGGCTAAATGATGGTCCCTACGCTCCACAACAGGAAGCCAACCAAGAGAGAGGATGTCACTCATACTGGCATATTTCCGCAAAACAAAACCTGCAACAGCCTACTGCATTCGTTGTAAACGTTTTAGTAAGTAATCAGGAACTGGATTACACACAACATCGTTATAATCTAATTTTGACAAAACTAGACTCTCTGCAAGTTGTTTCCTGATATTATATGGTGCTAAATATTTCAGCTTTCTCAGAACCGATAATATGGCGTAACACCCTGAAATTTTCCTATTTACGTCATCGTTCCATTTCAAATTCTGCTGCATTACAGTGCCAAGAAGAAGCGTATTGTTTGTTTGTTTAAGTTCAACACCATTGGCTTGAAGATGGATGGAATGCTCTTCGAGATGATGAACACGAGAGAGCTGAGTTGTAGAAAAGAGCATGACTTTCGTTTTCTTGGGGTTAAGGACAAGGTTGTTGGAAGTAGACCAGATTGAGAGATCATCAAGGTTAGACTGAATGTTATTTTCACACAAGTTTATATCAGCTGGCTTGCAATGGGAATAGAGGGAAGTGTCATCAGCATACTGGTGAGAAGATAACGTAGGGTCAAGATTGTCGGAATGATCATTCACATAGAGGTTGAACAGAATAGGACCAAGAATGGAACCTTGTGGAACTCCAAAACAGACATCGGTAGTACTTGATACTGCGTCATCGATTTGTACAAACTGGCGTCGTCCAGTGAGGTAGCTTGTAACCCACTTGAGGTAATCTTTGGAGAATCCTTGCCAGTGAAGTTTTCTCAAGATGGTTGAATATGAAACAGTATCAAATGCTTTGGAGAAGTCGGCAAGAACAGCTATTGTAACTTCACCTCTTTTCATAGCTCGATAAATGTCATCTCGCATTGCCAACATGACAGTCATGGTGTTGTGACCTCTGCGGTAGGCACTAACTGATTCTTTAAGTACTCCAGTAGTTGTGTTGGTTACGAAATCAGACATTTGTCGAAGAACGAGACATTCAAAGATCTTGGATAAGGTTGGAAGAATGGATATAGGATGGAGGTCGTTGTTGGATGTTATCTTCTCAGCTTTTGGAATAGCACAGATACGTGCAGTCTTCCAAGGTGATGGAAATAGCTGCTTTGATATGCAGTTGTTTATGATATGTGTCAGGGGTGATACTAGCTGCTCTGCGACCATTTTGATGTATTTAACAGGAATACCATCAGGGCCACATGAACAGCCCGAACACAAACTTTTGATTTCAGACAAAACTTCACGATAGCTAACTTCGAAGACGAAGAGCGCTAACAGGATCACCCGGTAGAGTGTTGATCAAAGTCCACAAATTTTCGGTTGGCTCAGGCGTTGTTCCAATGACACGTTCACTTGTAGATGCGAAGTGGGTATTAAGCTCATCAGGATCAACTGGCAAAGGTTTAGGGTTAGGGTTAATTATTCTATGTATGATTTTCCAGGCTTCCTTTGGTTTCTTGGATGAAAACGCTCGCTGGTAAAAATCACGTTTTGCAGTTTTTATCTTGCACTTAAGTTCATTTCTAGCATACCTTGACCTAGAAAGTTTGTCGATGTTATTGGTGGTTGACATAACACGGAGAACATGACAGTCTTTCTGAAGTTGGGCAATGTCACAATTTTTCATCCAGGGTGCTGGAGGGCATGAGATTTTAGTCCGTTGGAGAGGTGCATGTTGGTCAAGGCAATCACGAAATAGTGAGTTGAGTATATTAACTTGCGTATCTGGATCATCAATGGCATACACAAGGCTGAGCGGTAGTACATAAATAATATGAATCATTTTTTCTGTGCTGGTGTTGTGTACTCAGGTGAATAATGATATGTTTGTGATGTTACTCAGTGTATATCCACACCAGGCAAGCCTGAAAAATACGCCCGGCTACAGTAGGAATCGAACCCACAACCTTTGGAACACCAGCCCAAAGGTTGTGGGTTTTCCCACCGTGGCCGGGCATATTTTTCTGGCCGCCCAGTGTGGATATACACTCAGAGTAACAGCAAAAACATATAATATGAATCATAATTTGCATAGCACAACCGGTTACCGTGGCTAGCATCACCGATCTAACACCAGAGAATTTACTTGTCAAGAGAGACTTTAAACTGTTAATTGGCTAATATAATGCAAAGTGTACTATGTTTTTGTTTTATTTTCCCATGCATAAAAATATATTACAATATTTTTTAAATTTTGGGCATTGCTATATATCCAGAATTTTTTGAAAGAGAGTTTAATTAATATCAATCGCCTTAGTTTATGTACACATGGTTCCGTCATTAGTAAAAGTTAATATTAGTACTAGTTAAACTTAATATTAATTGAATCACATTAAATTCTCTACATGAGTTAGACAGGGTAAATTAAATAAACAGAAGTTTAATTTTTGATATTATTTTAAAAGTACGAATCTACTTAATAAATCTAATCTGCTGCATTATAATTTTAAAAGTGTATAATTTTTAGGATCACAGAGAAATTATGTCAAATGCACACATGTTTGAAGAAAGGATGGCAGAACGTTTGGTAGATACAAGCCCAACTGTGACAGATGCATCAGAAGATCCATTTCTCAGCGTTCAACAAATGTGTTTGGGCATGAAAATTTCCAAAATAATCAAAGAGGCATTATTGAAGCATCAATGCAAAACAAAGACCTTCTCGCAGTTATGCCAACAGGTAGTGGGAAATCTCTTTGTTACTGAATTCCTGGGATTCTGAGCGAAGGTGTAACTGTGGTCATAACTCCTTTAATTGCTCTGTTCAATGATCAAGTTACAAAACTAATAAACCTAAACATACCCGTCTGCTTTGTAACATCCAGTATGCACCCAAATGAAAGAGAGCTTGTCTTTCGTGAGCTAACAAAAGTGGATACAAAGTATAAGTTTTTTTATGCAACGCCAGAATTTGTCTTGTCATATCAAGCAAAAGTATGCTTTGAAGCTATGGTTGAAAACGACACACTGAGACGATTTGTTGTGGATGAAGCTCATTGTGTTGATACTTGGGGGAATAGTTTTAGACCTGCATACAACAACCTTTCTGAGCTCAAAGCATTTAGGAAGTCATTTTGTGCTTTTACCGGGACTGCAACTCCTCGAACACAAGCACAAATAGTTCAGAAATTAGGTCTCATGACACCAGAAATTTTTCAAGCATCCTGTAATCGGGAAAATTTACATTTTGCGGTAATGAAGAAAGGGGAAAAACATCCCAAAGAAGACCTAGTAGAATATATCAAGGTGAAACACGCCAAACAATGTGGCATTGTTTATTGTTTCTCCACTAAAGATACTGTTGAGCTTGCTTACATCTTCAAGTCGAAAGGTTTACCTGCAACGTATTACCACGGTCAACTTGATCATTTTGAGAAGAAAGAAAATGCAAAAGCTTGGCTAGAGGGCAAGGCACTTATCATGTGCGCGACAAGTACTTTCGGCATGGGGATTGACAAGTCTGATGTATGGTTTGTAATCCATATCACCTTGCCCAGATCAATGGAAGACTACTATCAGGAAGCTGGTAGAGCAGGGCGTGATGGCAACCCGTCCACGTGCATTATCATGTTTAGGTTTATGGATAGAAACCAACTTCTCCGCACAATATCACCTCAAACAGCCGATGATAAAAAAGATTACTTGTGAATCTCAGTTAATGCAATCATTTCCTACTGCATTGTCTTCAATCTGTAGACGACAATATATCTTGGAACATTTTGGCGAAGTGTCTGAAGTTGACTGTAAGAATACTTGTGACAATTGCACAAATCCTATTCCTGCTCTCAGAGATTACACAAACGAGGCAAAATTAATATGCAAATGCATTCAAGAAATGCAGGCAATGACGCCCATTATTAGCATAAAACAAGTGGCATATACATTCAAGGGCTCCAAATCAAAGAGAGAAGTAGAAAGTAAAGGCTTTTACCAAATTTAAGCACACTAGCAAAAACGTTTTCAAGAACGACGCAGAAGCAAGAACTTTCATTCAACACTTGGTGATTTTGGAGGTGCTGAATGAGAGTGACCGTGTTGTAAATGGTCATCGGACAACGTCTGTTGTTGTTCTAGGACCAAAAGCAGTAGATCTGAAGGAAGGAAAGAAACATATTTGGATTAACTTGTATATAGTTGAGACTAACTCCTTTGTAATCTACTGATCCACATTCACGAGTGAAACAAATCACAAAAACATTGATGCCAATGCATGGAAAATTTGCTTTAAATTGACATTTGGTGTGACTATAATTTAAATGAGACGAAATTCACTCAGTTGATACAGGTAAAAGATGGACATGTTAGGATAGTTAATCTATACTAATATTATTTTTTTTATAATTTAGCTCTATCCAATAGGAAAATGATGTGCTGAGTGGTTATATTACTATCTTAAAAAGTAAGCAGAAACTCGACATTTCGAGCGAAGGCCCTTTCGAGTCAAGACCCTTTCGATATTTACATCACGCACATCGCTTTGCCTCGCTGTCGCTAATAAAAGCGATTGGCTCATGATTCATGACTGAGAGGCTACCAGGCCAAATGACGTAATTATCGAAATGGTGTATTTAGCAATATCCATATGTATTACTACTGTACATCCGTGGTTGCACCCACTATATCAAATACTTAACAATTAATTGTATACTTTCACATATTATAATAGTATACTTTCACATATTACAATCAATACAATTATAAAATACAGTCCCTTGAGCATTTATTGAATGAACCAGACGGTGGAATCACAAGTTCCACAACAACTACCAAGGGGGATCCATGCTCCCCAGAAAATTTTGCAATTAGCTGTTCTAGATTCGCTAAAAATGCATTTGCCATACAATATTTGTTACATTATTCTACAGTTTATACATTTACACAACCTCGTACCCAGGGCATTTTGCTTCCCCCTACAGCGAAAATGGCCCTGGCATTGGCTGGTCACATGACTTCAAAATCTCCAGTATTTGGGGTGTTCAATTATGATAATTTATGTGTATATATATATAGAATAATTGTGTACATTTTAAATTTCAACATGGCAGAATCCCAAATCGATGTAGCTTTAAATAAGGCCGGAATACAGGACACTCTTAAGCCAAAGCAGGTGAACTGTTTTGAATACATTCTTCAAGGATACAATGTGACAGCTGTACTTCCCATAGGATTTGGGAAGTCTTTGCTCTGCCAGTTGCTGCCGGATGTGTTGCCCACAAAAACCATTCAAAATATTATTGTGGTATGCCCTCTTACTTCCATTATTGAAGATCAACTTGAACAACATGGGCATAAATGCCGGTATATTTTATTCAAAAAGGTAACATAAAGGTGATACGTTGTTTGACTACGTGAAAGCAAATGGTGCAGACAACAACTGCGAAACACCAGACTATGGACTATGCAAAATATTTGCACATCCAGAGGATATTCTTTCAGATATTTGTAGAAAGTTGATGAAATCGGTTGTATTTCAACAGAATGTTGTTGCTTGTGTGATTGACGAGGGTCATTGTATTGAAATGTGGTAAGTACATTATTATTGAAGGTTTCACGGTATGAACAGTCACCATTTTGCAAGTATAGGGCAAACTGACACATGAAAGGATCAAGGACAAATGCAATGTGATTTCCCAAGAGTATTATTGATCATATGCATTTTATAGTCATTGTGTTTGTCCTACTTACAAAATGGTACAACCAGTCATGTTGAATACAACCTGCAGCAAGCCAGGTGTTTAAGGCCAGGGTCAAACGTCAAACTTTTCATACACTGAACCTAATGCAAATGAAGTGAAACAGATAACTTAGCTCATTAACATTAGGTTCGGCACATGAAAAGTTCAACGTTTGACCCTGGCCTAACTTCTCTTAATGCATTTACTTGCATTACTCGCAGTACTGGAGTAAAATTGCCTGGTGTTAAACAGAGTAAATATTAAAGTAGGATGCATTGCCAGTTAATGAGTTAAAACAAATATTTATACTATAAACTCATTAACACGCAATATGCCGGCATTCGCCCTCAAATGACACCTCAATATCTGAAAGAACTCCTTGTTCCAAAAGCATGTACATACATTGATGGACTTCCCTTCACCATAGAGGGGTGTGAACGAGCTAAAACCATCCTCAAAACAAAGTATGGGAAAACAAGTGAGGTAGCTAATGCCCACATGCAAAGTATTGTATCATTACCTGTCATTAAAGGGACACAACCCAAGAAGATACATGGGGTTTTTGAGTCGTTAGTCACCAACACCCAAGCCCTTGAAACTATGGGTAAGGTAAACTCAGTCAAGTACAAGGGTTTGTGAGACATTGAGTCCGACTGAGTCAGAGTTCACGTTTGTCAGAGTAAGATTGGATGATGAGTGGCAGGATTGGGGTTTCACTCAACTGGTAGAGGCCCTTAGAAAATGGTGTGAAAGAAATCCAATCATAATCGAAGAGAAGGCCTGTTCAGAAAAAGTGACACTTGGGGGCTCAAAAGTTGAATCTGCTGGGTTCTTACAAGTCAACCAACAACAATGAAAGCCAAAGCCCTGTGTATACTGCAATTCAGATCAACATAAATCTGTAGTTTGTTATAAGGTAATAGATGTGGCTTCTAGGAAGAAAGAACTAGCAGCGAAAAAAACGTTGTTTCAATTGTGCAGGTCTGAAGCACCGGCTTCAGAATGTCGAAGTTTAGCTACCTGTCTGAAGTGCAAGGCCAGCACCACACATCAACATGTGATCAAGTATCACAACAACAAATGATGCTTGCAACTGCCAATGGCAGAGTCATCTATCCGGTGGTAGTCGTAATGGTTGATGGTGTAAAATGTAGAGCGTTGCTGGATACGGGGGCTGGGAGCTCTTATAACTAGACAACTCGTGGGATAATGCGATCTTAGCTGTTGATCACTACACCTTCCTTCGTTCCGACAGAAACGGTAAAAAAGGTGGTGGCCTTCTGATATACATCCCGGAGCATTTAATTTTCAAGAGACGCCTGGATCTGGAAATTAATGGAATTGAATGCATATGGATTGAGATTAATTTCCCTAACTCAAAACCCATATTAGTATCGTTTATTTACCGCCCTCCTTCTTCCGGTGCTGCTTACCTGGATACATTCGACTCTATGATATCTAAAGCGGATGCTGACGGTAACCCGACAATAATTCTTGGAGACTTCAATTTTGACTTGTTATCTGACACGTGTAACACACGCTTTAAAAATGTACTTGCTACATTTAATCTCGTTCAGCTTATTACCGTACCAACCAGGCCTGTCTCAAGATCTTTGCTTGACCACGTTTACGTTTCTCATAAGGATAATGTCTCCACATCTGGAACCTTACCGATTTCTATTAGTGATCATTTACCAGTCTTTGTTAATTGGACTACACGAATTAACTTCTCAAATTCAAACGAACATAAGTACACTCATTACCGATCACTAAAGAATTTTTCTGCAGAGCAATTTGTAGCTGATTTAAAAAACATACCATGGAATACTTTAGATATGTTCACCGATGTCAATGAAGCTGTTGAACACTGGTACTCTTTGTTTAACGATTGTCTCAATAATCACGCACCATTAAAAACAAAGCGTGTCAAAAGAGTCAATCAACCTGAATGGTTTTCCTGTGAAATAAGTGAGGCAATTAAAAAACGAAATTATTTACACCACTGTGCTATCTCCACGAACACTCCCCTGTCTTGGCAATATTATAGAACTGCACGTAATCGAGTAGTTCACTTGATTAGAGACGCTAAACGTACATTCTATACTAATTCCATTAATGCTAATCTTGATAATCCAAAAAATCTCTGGAAAATTATTCGTAATCTTGCTCCTTCCAATCACTCTAACTCTCCTAACCACTTGACTATTGATGGTAAGACATTGACTAATCCTAAAGATATCGCTGATTCATTTAATGATCATTTTACTAACATACGAAACTCTGTTTCGCTTAATAGCTTCACTAATAATTCAAATTGGGACTATCTTTCTAATTTTCTTTCTTCTAAAATTCCTCCAAATACAACCTTTACTATCCCCCCAATATTTGAAAGTTTTGTTCGAAACAGCTTCAATCATCTGCCTGAAACTAAAGCCGCTGGTTTAGATAGAATTGGTGGATATTTTCTTAAAATAGCTGCAACAGCTATTTCACCTGCTCTGACAAAGATATATAATCTCAGTATTAATTCGGCTAGTTTTCCTGACTTGTGGAAAATTGCAAAGGTTTCACCTCTTTTCAAATCGGGTTCACTTTTTGACCGTTCCAACTTTCGCCCTATCTCAGTTTTGGCCGTTATCTCTAAGATACTTGAACGCCATGTTCATAATTCTTTTTATCACTTCCTAACTGAGTATAATCTTCTTGTTGAAAATCAGTTTGGGTTTAGAACATCTCGCTCATGCGAATTAGCAGTCACTCATCTTACTGATAAAATTTTAACTAATATTGATAACAAAAAATTAAATGGA